CAGGGGGGTTGGACTGGATGGTCTCCTGAGGTCCCTTCCAACCCCCACCACTCTGGGATTCTGTGAAATACTGTGATCCTAATATGCCTTTCAGTCCCCAACAGAATTCTTCTTGAACGCCTGTATTTTTTTCAAAATATCCCAAAGAACATCCAGGGTCATTCAAAATGCATTTTACTGGTTCCCTGACACCACACCAAACTGGGAAGCGACCAGCAGTGTTAGAAGCAGCCCTGAACTGTAGTGCCTTCAACATGCTCAAACGTGCAGCTTTGTTTCTCTCCTCTACTTGGCCTAAGTCTGCAACAGTGGTGGGTTTTGTTGGATTTTAAATACCTGCTACTCCCTCTCCCTCTTGCTTCTGTTACCCAGGCTATCGAGATTAAATGAGCAATTCCAGACCATGGGAGTGACCCATTCCACACACAGCTATAATTTTGGATTTACCCAGAAAATGAAGGTAGAGTCAAGAATTACTCACTAAATAGTACTTAATACTGCGAGTGCATTACACCTGCAACCACTGAGAGACAGCTACCTAGCTTGAGAAACAGAAGGCAGCTTTGATCTGTAAGTGCTGTAAGAACCAGGGGATTCAGCTACAGCCGGTCCCTTCCCTCACCTGGGAAACCAGCATCTGGTGAGCTTTTTGGGGAGGCTCCCACACCAGTCCTGTCTTAGCCAGATTCTTGAGAAAGGAACAGTTTAAGACTCTAAGGAGGACTTTTGAGCAACTCAACCAATTATTATGGGTAGTTCTCATTACAGTTGTGTTTTTCTATATATAGCTGTGCCAGTGCCCTCCCAGACACTTAAGCAAAAAAATCAAAAGTTTCAGATAGGATTTCTTAATTCTTACTACTCAAAAGCATATGACAAGCTCCATCAGGATTATTAACTGAAGCAAAAACCCACTGAACATGAAATCCTGAAACAATCATTTAAGCCAAACACTATGGAAACTGATATCTGACACTCACAAGGTGTCATTGCAAGTCTGGGATTCCTAATGCCAGACACAGAACACACTGAACGAAACCTCTGGTCCAGTACACTCCCTGCCCTCCTCGCCCTGACAAATTATATTTGTTCAAAGTTACAATGGGTTCACTTTATGCCAAGAGGTTTTAACACCAGGTCAGGTATCACCCGTCCTTCCATAATCAGCATAAAGTGGGAATACATTCAGTGCAATGTGTTCTAGTTGATCTGACAGACCCAGCATGTGCTCGCATCTGATACCTACCAAATTCATTCTGCTGGCTGATCCGGTAAAGCTCCACTTCGTCTGCAACGGCAACAAAGCGACAGCTAAAACTGCACTAATCATGTCCCGTGCAATCCAGACACTTGGCTCCTCCTGATGTTCTTCACATCCAGTCTTCCCATTTTTCCTTGCATTTCTTGCCCCCTGGCCAGCTGTCTGGTAAACACTCTCTCAGCACCACACTGCCATGTTGTTACAACATAAATCCCTCAAAGATATTTTTTCTAGTTTCTTATTTAAGAAGATTCAATTTTTTTGCTCTTTTTCCAGAAGTCCAAACCTCTCCTAGAACTATAAATGAGTAAAAAGGATACTGAAGAAAATCTTCTGGATGACAGGAAACAGATAATTAGTTCTTCCAGAAAACTGCTTCTTCAATGGCAGTGCCACCAAACTCAGACTCCTCACTGATCACTACAAGGAGGATTCTTTCTCCTCTTTTTTATAAAGCAGCAAAGTATGGTCTTCAAGCATTTCAACAGTTATATAGGGTAAAGCATTTACCCAGGAAATCCAGAGGCAAAATGCTTCTTCAAAGCACATCTCCTCCTCAAGAAACATCTAACAATTACTGAGAAGGCTGGCAGAACACTCAGCCTTGATACCACTGCAGATTTCCATTTTTTATGTCATTACATGGCTATGGTGGTTGGTTGATTTTAAGTTAACCACAGAATGGTGGGGGTTGGTAGGGACCTCAGGAGATC